CTCATTGGAAACCATGAGTGTCACTGTGGACCAAACTGGTAACAGAACGGATTCAGCGATCTCAGGTATTTTTGCAGCTTCAGTAAGAACAGAACGACAGCAACAGGCTCGATAAGTGGAGGTTTGCTAACAATGCCACAGACCTGAATATATTGTCCGACTTCGTCGGTGGAGCCAAAACCGTGGGGCCAGATTAGCCTTTCATGCAAGCATTGTCAGTAATTTTGATCATAAAAAAATTTATTGGTCGATTGCCTACGGTTGGTATAACAACTGGCTACCTCAAGGATCTGGTTGATCTTGGGTTTATACACAGCTTGATTTATGGACAATTGGCAAGTACCGTAACGACTGCTCGGCACGGTTGAAGGGTGTAACAGACACCATTCTCAATATGGTAGAAAATGTGATAGCCAAGGAGCAGTTTGGTACCCACACTCACCGTCAGATTTTCACCGTGGTACGGGAGTATCAGTATTTGTAATTTGAGGGGTCGATTTCTTACGGTCCACAGGATATACGCTCAATCTGCGAGAAAACTGGCTTCATGTGACGGAGAGTGATGTCGGTATAGGAATACAGGTCGCTGCGGTCAGTTTCACGACAACCACAGGGAACAATTCGGTAGTCAAGCACAGAATTATTCAGCCGTTGTCGCCCAAGATAGAACGTCTGGAGCTCTCGAGTCAGATACAACTCGAGCAGTTACTTCAAGAATATCAGCAGGTTTTTCGTGAGATTGCAACCAGCTTGGGTGAACAAATTTAGTGCAATATTCAATCGACACTGGGGACGCCCGGCCGATAAGACAGACGCTTTGACGCGTTTTGATTCATTGTCAGAATGCCTCATTAGAAGTTATAGAAAAAACTGCTAAAGCAGGGGGTGATCAAGGCATCTACTTCCCCATGGGCTTCGCCGGTAGTATCGGTAAAGAAAAAAGACGGATTGACGGGAGTTTATGTGGCCTATGGAAAGTTGAATCATAACACTTAAAAGCATTCGTTCCCCTTACCTCGCATTGACGATTCACTGGATGCCTCAGCTGGCTCACAATAATTTTCCAAATTTGACTTATCGTCTGGATATCAGTAGGCTGTAGTGAAACCCAAAGATAGAGAAAAGATGGCGTTTTCTATCCCGAGTGGGTTATGCCAGTTTGATACCATACAATTCAGGTTTACGAATGCCTCCACGACGTTTCAGTATCTCATGCAGGCGTGCCCTCCAGAACGTGCTTATTTTACTTGGACGACATAACATTGCTCGAGCAATCAATCGAAGAACACCTGGATAATTTGAGAATGGTGCTCCAGAGACTGAAGGGGGCAGGTTTACGCCTTGAGCCCAAGATGTGAGCGTTTCTGAAAGAGACGATCAAGATTTTCAGACCATGACATCCCTAGTGCGGGGAACAGCAGCAACCCAGATAAATTTAAGTGGTGGAACAGTGGTCTAGACCCCAAAGCTTGGACGAAGTTAGGCGCCTTCATGAGCTGGTATCTTATTACCAACGTTTTTACTTGAGTTTTCCAACCAGTGCTTCTTCGCTGACGGAGTTAGCATAAAGGAATAGGTTACTCGAATGGTCAAAGGACTGTTCTGAGGATTTTCGGAAACTTGAAAGAAGACTGTTTTACTCAGTGATTTTGAATATTGCTGTTGTTTGTAGCTCAGGTTGATGGTTTGTATCGGCTGATGATAACTGAGCTTGGCCTTTAGGCCGCAAACGTTTTATCACCAGTCGAGATGACATCATCAGTGCGCAGGTGAGAATGCCCGTACTCCTCTCGCTATACATATAGAGCTTGCTCTGGATGCGACCTTGACCCTAGAAGGTAACTTGTAGTCTGCAAGGTTCAGTGTGCCTCCAAAGAGGATCGCACGTGTCCGATCTGCAAAATACAGAAAAAACTATGAACACACAGGCTTAGTAGGTGCATTAACAGGATCCTACATTTTTATTACCGAAAACCAATATGACTGCCAAGAGCCTGTTCACTACATACTTATTATAGAGACTTGACCTCTAGATGCAAAGTTCTAAATTTGGTAACTTGATCTTTACCCTTTTGCAATACCGGCTACACCCGAAAGCTTGAATTCTTGAAAATCCTGCTGATTTTTAGTTTTTGTTTATCTTTTTTGTTTTTATTCCCTTATTTTTGTGTTGCCATAGCCATGGTCCACTGAGGCCTCATTGAAACGTTTTGGTTGATGTGGCAACTATTACGTCGGTCAAACTGGGAGGAAGGTTGCAACACGAATGAATGAACACAAACTAGCTATAAGAAGACATGATCCATTCTCCCCAATATCCGTTCACGAGGACCAATGACACATTCGTTTTGGATGAAGTTAACATTCTGGACCAAGCAACAACGAGACATGCAGGGTTTTTGGAAGCCCGGCTTTCTTCAACAAATTCAACCAATAAACACATCGAATTGGGGCGGATTCATAATCTCTTGATGCGCAGGAAATTCAACTAACCCAAGAAGTGAAAAACTAATGGATCTATATATTATCGAGCCATGGTCATGAAATCCAATTTTTCGTGTGCATACATCAGCCAAAATGTTTCCATGATGACTCAGTGAACCAAGCCTATGGTTACACAGAAATGAAGAAATAAAAACAAAAAAGCACAAAAGGATGAACAAAAACCAAAAAGCAGCAGGAGCTTCACGAGGTCAAGCTTCTGAGTGTAGCCGGCATTGCAAAAGGTCAAAGGAGAAGTTTGCGCCTAGAGGTCAGGTTTCCGTAACTAGTGACCTTCAAAGGTCAAGGTCATATCCAGAGCAAGCTCCATTTTTGTAAACAGAGGAGTAGGGACACCCTCACCCGCGCACTAACCATGTCATTTTGACCGGTGATGAAACGTTTTCAACCCAAACGCCAATCTCAGTGACCACCAATCCACACAATGACTGCTTTGCTCCTATCTTAGTGCAACCGGACCTATGAGGCACCGCTGGAAGTTTTTGTTTTGCACACCGTACCAAGTGAAACCGTCACTGAAGCTGTTCTGACTCAGTTATCTCCGGGTAAGAAGGAACACGTTATCGCTAATGAGAGTAATATATTAAATACAAGTGAGCGCAGCTATGTTACTGCTCGAAAAGAGACGCTGGAGTCAGTAAATTTCATTATATACATTCGATACTCCCTGCTAGGAAAAAAGATTTTAGTATGGATTGACCAGTGACTACGAAATTTTAACAGCCCAGAGGGGCAAGTGGCACGACGGGAAGAAAGTTTTCAGGGATACAATTTTGAATGTCAACTCGAAACGAATTGGTCCAGTTTGTTTTGAGGACCATTTCTTCTGACTGGCTGGTGATACGGCAAACCAGCGTTTGACGAAGTTCGTTTCTCAACCTGGCGGTAAACGTCACCGATCCGCAGTCCCGACGCACACAGCCGGGTAGACCCCAGCCCAAACACTATAGGGTTAGTGTTGTTACTGGAGTTACCAAAACTCCTTCGTTTGATTCGGAGTAGGGACAAGCTCCAAAGGGTTGATGTGAATCAGTGACCGTACAGATTTAAAAGGTGACAGATCCTCCTGTGAAAGCCACAGGGGAATAGGCCTGGTTAGTGTAGCATCTAAACTGCCAGCTGGTATTATTCTCCATCGCTTGCAAACAATGCTCAAGCCAGAATCAAGCTGCACTGTGTTGATAACATCTCCATTCTTCGACAAATTTCAGAACATAGGCATGCTTTCCATAGGCCCACTATCTCCGCTTTTCTTGACCCTAAAACAGCCTTCGATTCAGTCGACTGCACAGTTCCCTGGCGCTGCCTCTTGATGGAGGGTGCACCAGAGAGATTTATTCCCATCACAAAGTTCCTGTAAATGAACAGCCGAAGCCCAGTTCGTGTTGGACGTTATTTCTCACCCAAGTTTAACACAAAAGGTAGTGTATGTCAGAACTGCCCCTTCCCATCTAACTTTGTGATTATTATGGTTCTAGAGACCGCGATTTTGCCACGTAAGGATAGTGGTAGTGAAATTCTCTCGGGTGGAAAAACGTCAGACCTCTAATATACGGACGACGATTCTTTCGAGTGAAGATCTAGTTAAGTTGCAAGCTTTTATGGATAACTTGAACGACTGTGTACTTATGTTCGGTATGCGTTCTGCACCTCGAAAGTGTAAGATGCTACTGCAGGATTAGGTTGGTCCAACGCCAAACCTTTTAGTGTCTGGGGAGCCCATTGACCAGCTAGACAAAATCTGTCGCCCAGACAGCTGCACTTCACCAAAAGGTCGGATGAAATGGCTTCGCGCGTACAGAAGCCTCGTTTGGTATTTGCCAACCTGAGTCATCTGTGGCGTCGACAACATCCGTGCATCTATCAAGGATCGAGTGTGTTGCAGCAGTCAGGTCAGTTTTTCTGTATGACCACTACAGGTGGAGGATATACGAAGATTGTCGATATTGGAACACCGATGTATTCGTACTATTGCTCGAATAAGTTGGAAACATTGCATCCGTGATGCTGAGGTTAAGCGCAGAGTACTAGGGACACGAACCAAATAATTAGACGAAATACTTAACCTCACCGAGCTGTTGCAGTTGGGATGTGTTATATATATGCCCCCGGATAGTATGCCTAGGGGACTAATCCAAATAACAAGTAGCGTGCCGTTCCCATGTGACTGGAATCCACAATTGCATTGTAAAGTTTTTATGACAAACAATAGATAAGTAAACAATTTCTCGAACGAAAACAGAACCTGGCGATGATCTATAAGTTAGAAAGAGAAGAATTATGACTCGGCACAGGGGAATCAACAGATCACATTCAGAAGAAAATATGAGAAAAAATTACCAAAAAATGGTATGTCTTGTATGAGAGTGGGCGGGGATAAGTTCGTCCAAACAGCATTAACACGATCGAGATGGGACAATCCGAATCCTAAGATACGGTACTGAAATGATGCGAAACGAGCGTGTTGAAATGAGCCCTCTCTCGCTCCCACATATGCTTTATGAATGTGTACGTCGCGCTGGAGCATACAGTGTTACAGATGCCAAGTAGTCACAATTCGGAATCACCTGTGACAAAGAGAAAAAAGAAATCATACGAATTCAAATACGAATAGTTGTGCGCACACAAAGCGAGGAATTAGTCACTCCTATCAAAACAAGCAAAAGCAAAAACGGAAAAGTGGGTAGCCACGGAGACAGAAAGATGCATTCTCATAAGTATAAATTAAGTCATCAAATATTGTACCACTTACGTATTGATACTCCGTCACCGAGCTAAGTTTGGTTCCACCGACGATGCTCCCCACATGCGAGCATCGTACCCAGAAAACCCCACTCTGTTTGCTACTAACGACGTGGGAATCTTTGTCCTTGACCCAGATACCTGGATTAATTTAACCAAGTATGTATTCGTCCTGTCTCCGACTCCGTCAGATTACACTTATTCTCTAGTTTGCCTGTTTACTTCCGCCGTATCGCTTATTCACATGCAAGTTCAACTGACGTCACTAGTTATGTTGTTTTCATTCATACCCAAGCTTAATTTAGATATCAGTGAGGGTACGAGCCGCCATATTGTCGACAGACGGCCTAGTTCGGTCAACAAACAACACGTCATCGTCTGTCCAAAATCCATGGCAAAGCCCCGGCCAGCGAAGCGAATCGATGGCCCAATCAGTTCGTGACAAAACTGAACGAAACCATCTAATTAGCCGCTAACATTCATTCTCACTGAACCGAACCGAACGAAATCGACTGCCAACAGTTGTTTTAACCGAACGGGACAAAATCAGCCAATCGGGTTTGTAACTAAAAGTCAGTCAGAAGGCCAGTTATGGAAGACGTTACGGACCAATGCGCTTCGTGCAGTGCTTTTGACAGCCATCTTGTAAAAACCATCTGTTTTGCGTTACTAAAAGATTATTCGGAGGCAGAGAAGTCTTCTTCTTAGAACCAGTGAGTGACCACAGAACAATCACTCCGTTGTGTTTGCCTTGTTTCCATCGTGTCTTCTGGCTGACAAAACACTGTGCTATCCGCTTGTTTACAACTTCGTCGGCCTACTTCACGAACCTCGATTCAGACCGCCTGTTCTGACTCTGTCATATTGGCCCGAAGCCTAAAACGGTCTGCCATTTGTGTAACCCATTTCATTGCAAACCGCTTTGTTTTTTTAAGGCAAGTCGGTTACCGGCACACTATGTGCTTGACGTTCACGATTTAAGTAATGCTGTCATCTGCGCCTGATAGATTCCCTAAAAAACTACCGACTTCGCATTCTCTGACTTGGGATTCGGGGTTTGTCTTTTGCGAGTCAGTCAACCACTGGACAACGGATCGGTAGACTACCAAATGGACCGAGCTCGTTCATTATCTCAGGTAGATTTTCCAATTGTTTCGTCTTTCTTACAGTTTCAGGTCCATGATATGAGCGGCGTAACCGACACTGAACTGAGCCCTAATAAGTGCAGATCATCAAAACCACGAATGAAACCTTATTTTGCTTCCATTTCAAATCGATTGACTCAGCCACAGTTTGCAGACAGAGTTTTCGTGTACCAGATGTGACATGCCATACTAACTCAACCGTGTCAGGTGACTCACATGAATGACCACGTCTACGTGACGCAGAAAAGAAGTTGAGTTATATTCACAAACCAAATCGAACGGCATCGAGTCAATACAGCGGATAAAAAGGGGGGAGTGGTTTTATCCAGGAATGTCATCCAAACATTCCAAGTGGAATCGACTAATAACTGCTATAATGATCTAACAATAACATTAGAGTGACAAAAATCCAATCAATGACAGTCTAAACTGTGACAGAATTTGCGAAACTTCACACACTCATCAGATGTCCCAAAACTATGGTGGGTCACCCGTTACGAATTTTACGGACAACAGTCAATGCATTAGGCGATCGAATTCATGCTTGCTGCATAGGCGAGTACGGGTAGGGATATTCTCAGAACCACTGAAACCAATATTTTACGGAAAAAACGGGCAAAATGAGTTACCGGAAACACTGAGGGTACCACCAAACTGGACAGAAAACGCACGCGCGTTCACTTAGTAAAACTAAACCTGAGCAACGTAAAGGCCGAAACAGAATTGCTAAAAGCATTGAAAATGCACCCAAAAAAATACACCACATACTTCGAATATTATATCTTGGTAGCCATAAGCGAGCGTCGAACCAAAAATATTTGTACCAGCTTTCACAGAACGGTGAATTACCACCGGTTCGACGGTTAAAAGCGCTTCGTTGTGATGTTGAATTGTAGACCACTGTGTTGGAAGGCAATGAAAGGATGACAAATTTGTCATTTGATTTGTATCGTACATCTGAGAACAATCAGTTAATTGATTTTTCGGTGATCGACCGTTTCCACAATCACCGTCCCAATCATTACGGGGAAGAAAAGTTGGGCGATATGGCAGTACACTCACACAACGAGTGAAACCTGGCTGCGTTTGTCAAATATTATTATTATTATTATTATTATTATTATTATTATTATTATTATTATTATTATGTATACACATATGCATGAGTTGGATCCCCAATGATTTCTTGCAACGCAGATGAAATAGTTGGGGATTCCCTTCGTTGTCTTCCAGGCTGTTAGAGAAAATATACCACACGTCTTAGTGGCTTGGTAAGCTAAATCTAGCTGCAATCAACCAAGAGTTAACGAGGAGGAAGAATGGAGAAAGCCTGTCTTAGAATAAGTAACTGGTTCAACACACAAATGTATAAAAAGCCAAAAACTTAGCAGCACTGCAATGCAATGCAGATGACGGCAAGGATTTTGAAAAAGAAAACACCTCACCTTAACAAACGGCGTGACAACAAAGCCCGTATCTGCACCTGCATCCATCAGTGGGGAATCTCGGGGCAAATCTTCCGCGAGGTCTCCGTGAGCCCCTTCTTCGACAATCTTTTCAACACCCGGGGCACTGGACAACAAAGGAATCTCGAAAAAGCACCGATAATACCTGAAAAGTGATTAGTGTATGAAGAAGAGAACAATAATGATGTTCTTGATGAACATGATATGAAATGACTCACGTGTTAAATGTGTACTCGCCCGGTTGGTTGGTGTGCAGAACAAATTTGATCACTTGGTGCGTTTGACCATCCACGAGAATGTCCACACCAAGGGTGAAGTAGTTGAAGAAGTAATCCGATCGTCGTGGTTGATCTATTCGATACCATTTGGGCATATGAATTTGCATCTTATCTTCCGTCTTGTAAAAAATACGACTCGGTGATCCAAGAGCAGCTAAAACATCCTGTGATGTGATGAAGTTAGGGTCACAGGGAAAGCGACGGGCTAGCCGTCGATTGAGGTATTAAAAATGGTGTGGATGCCATATATAACAGAAACAAGAAAACAGCTGTTATCTCATTTGAATCGCATGGAGTGTGCATAGATGGAGAGTCAATTTTTAGAATCACACAATGATTCTGGAAAAGTTAATTCATTGGATAACATGGCTAACCAACTGTGAAGTGCTCAAGTATGGGGATGAGTACCGGGCGCGCATACCTGATAAGCGGAAAAACCGTGAAACCGGTCGTGTGTTTCCGGGGGAATTTTATCCTGTCATCCAGATACAATGCCGTAGAGTATTGTACTGTTTTTGAATAGTAAACAGATCGGCCTCATATCTACCAGGGGGAGAGATTTCCACCGATAACAGATGTACATGAAACTTTATAGGGGTGAGTTACAGTAAACATGGTGCTATACTCCATGAAACGGGCCCGGTAGCAAGTTGTTCATTGGGACACATGCTCTGGGAGTAGGCCTAAATGATCAGGCTACAACTAAAGTTATCCGCAGCAAAGTAGTAAAACACAAAGATTTTAGCATTCGCACGAGCAGCCGTACTGCAGTAGCTCAACTGGTAAAACAAGTACTCGGTAAGCGAAAAGTCGCCAGTTCGATTATGGTTTGGGCATGGACTTTCGGATGCGAAAAATGCAAGTGGATTTTCCATTGTCTATGTAGAAAGACATACCATCCAAGATAATCTCTGACTCATTCGGCCGGATGGTGCCGCCTTGTGTTTCTTATGCCGCGTGACGTAATCGCGGTCTTTAACCCTATATTGTCCATAATCGTCACCGATCACGTATGCTACGGTCAAGTAGTATATGACAAACACTACTAAAACAAGCGCATCTTCTTCGTGGCCCGCATACACTATAGAGAGAATACTGAAAGACAGCCATTCTCATGATCCTGATTTTAAAGACGGAAGGGAAGGCGCGTCACAATTTGTCTCTGCACAGTCCAGAAGGAGCATGAGAAAACTGGGGAAAACTCCCAATCAAAATACAAAGAACAAACAACCGCTCCGCAGTGGGTAAGTGGTAGCGAGTTAAGAGTAATTGAAAGATCATTGTGCCCGACTCGATTGAGAATAGATAAAAAGAAAAACCAGACCAAACCCATGTAAATGTATTCCATTACGCGACGAACTGTATTTTTTACAGTATGGCCGAGGGTGGGTGTCCCAGGCTCCAAGATGGCTACTCATCTTGAACGCCTCTCGAAACGCTCCCAAGTGACCGTGCGTCTAGAACAGCCCCGGTGGGGAACTCCTACTCACTGTCTTCTCGTGGTGGTGTTCCCACTAAAGCCAGAGGACGAAAGCAAATGCATGGCACTGTCCACCGGGTTGACTGACTAATAGTCAGTCTAGGGAAGTTGGATAGGCTCGAATTCGAAACCAACCATAGGCGGCGTATGAAGCGTACAACGGTATGCTCACCGGCATCGGTGGCGGAGAAGTGCACTGGGTATCCAGAATGTTTGGCCTCACCCGAAGGGCTTTGGAACTGAGCATTCAGTCACCGACCCTCAGTGGGTTACGGACCCCACGCTTCAAGCCCACTGCCTAGCTGGCTAAGCTTTGGACAGCTGAAGGCTTCGGTTGCGGACCCCTAAGAAAACCACCTGCTTTGGCCTGGACAACCTGACAATATTGCGCCCACAAACAACTCATGGACTCGGATTGCATCAGCCCCTTTCTCCTCGATTGTACCATGTTTTGTTTGGCACACAGTCTGAAATCAGGCGGGTGTGGAATATATATATATATATATATATATATATATATATATATATATATATATATAACGCATGGTAGATCGTGATAATGTCACGAACGAAGACAGAACCATGCACCACCCCTAATTTAAGCCTCAGGAAGATGTTCCAACCAGGAAGCTCAGGCTTTCTGAAAATTGTGAAACACGGTTCCAAAAATCCCTCCATGCCACAACGTACATTCGACGATGATTAATTCACACTACTCTGAGAGGACAAACCTTTTGTTCCAAAGAAAAAATGTTTGGCTGCTGACTTTTGTGCACGACTGGCATTAGGCCAATGAGACGAAAATATTGTACCGAATGCGTTTATTTAAAGAAAACTGATCATTGAATGAATTCGTTTGATCTCCCAAGTCAAGAAATTGACCACTCGTTTTTCGTTCCCAACGAAACGGCAAGTTTTACGTCCAAATGGGTTTAGTTGAATTTAGTGACTAATTGCCAAATAATTATTACTCAGTTTACGACTACGAACGTGTTTTGATCAGCCTCTTTATGGAACAGTCATTGCCCCGCATTCCTCGCTAGACCAAACGGGTTATCCGTTCAGGAAATTATTGATGTCTCGGACGGTAAATTGCTAATGATGTCAAATACTTTCGTCATGAAACAGTTGGGGGAGTTGACAGCGAAATCGCGCCTAATGATATGGGATTTTTGAATGTTTATACAAAAAGTGAAACTACGAAATGATCAGTTTATTCCTCTTATTACATGACTACATACGGATGTCGCGGGAGTGGGTGGTTTTCTAGAACCACACTTCAGAAAGATAGTGCCTGAAATTTGAATCTTGAAACTTGGAGCAATCAACCACATGATATCGCGATGGGTTGGTTATAATGAATCAACCACAATGAACATCACGTTGGACTCCAATCAATCCACAAAACTTATAGGAAACGTCTGCCCACTGAAATAATTTCAGCAACCCGCAGGTTGATACAAATTACGAGTGAAGGATAAGTGAGAGGATCATCCGGTTCAGTGAGGACTGCAAATCCATCCTTGGGTAAAGGGAGGATAAATCGTTATGTGAACATTATGGTTTTTCACTCTTACTTACTGAGACTACTGACAAACTACACAAAGTTTAAAAAGCTCACTTGAACCGTGGCACCGAACTGTAACGTCCGCGTGAAACGTCGTGTTTGCGGCTCTCTTGTTGGATTCACGCTTAAATCTGATTGTGGAAAAAACAAGTCTTAGAGTCAAAATACTAGGGATGAAAGGTCTGAAATCAAATAATTAACTACTAGAATGATTGCAAACAACAGAAACCGATGAGGACTCTAGTCTTCTTTACATGTTTGGAATGTTGTATGATTGTCCAATCCGTGAAAAGGCGTGATTCATCCACACAGATCCGACAAACCACTTCAGATTTTCTGTTGAAAGATGCGAACACTTTTGAAAACTTATGATCGTCATCCGTGGTCCCTAGCATAAGGAGGCAGCTAAGCACCGCATGCTATGATTCTATTACCAAAGAAGAGCCAAGGTTCTCGGCGATCGTTCGGTTTGACTATTGGTCACAACAATGATAAACTTTTATGACGTTTATTTACCGCACACTAATGGTGTTGTGTTAGGAATTAGCGGTAGTGAAGTTGCTCCATTTATCTGCAATCACGTAAACACAAAACCCAGCCGGTGATCAAGCGAGCAGGCAGAAAAATAAGTAAGAAGTGCGCGGAGTTACATGCACTTTCACGACCAAGTCACACGTTGATTCGGCTAAGACCAAACAAGGTAAATCGATGCGTAGCGAGATCGACCAATCCTTACTGTATGGGCTGAAGCATGAGCAAACATCAAGATCGTGCAGTCGTACGTCTGATCGATTGTCTGCGTCGTCCGACTCGTTATCTCACCTAATCTATCAGAGCCCCATATGACTCTCCATTTTGAGTCGCAGCGTCTGGTCATCGGCTGTACCTAATAGAGAAGTGGGCTTTTGAGGTTATGAGGTATACCCTTTCCACTGAACTCAAGCTCAAGCATGTATTGGAAAAGTATGCGTGCGTATAACAGTCTGTCTTTTCATGCACTTGACTGTTTAAACCGAACACAACAAATGGCTCAATACCTCAGGAGAGAGAGTGCGATTTATTAAAGGTTGTCGAATGGGAAAGTGACCGGGGGCAGTGGGATATGAACCGGGAACCACAAAGTTTAAAGTTCATAAGAACGACCGTCTGACCCGCGAAACCGAAGTTCCATGTGAAGCCAGTACCGCACTTGAAACAAAAACGATATCAATCACGACCACTTCCGAACAAATCTCTTAGGGACCTTATCGAACAGTTCCATGGAACGTCATCAGGTGCGGAGATCTTTCGGCATATTTTCAACAATCACCGAGTAGTGGTATTGATTTCTTAGCAAGCCTGCTTAAGGATAACTAGAACCAAATAAATGCAAATATGTGCATCGTATGAATTTGTGCTTTTGGAGTTATTATTGGAATAATGAGGAAAAAAGAACAACACTTTATCAAACTGAAATACATCTTCCGATGCAGTGTCAAGAGGCAGACTGATTCATGTTTTCATGGGAATTTACGTACTGGAATCAAGGAAAGAGAAGCTAGTTTAACAACCCGCTTAATTTGAGAGGAGCTTACACCGAGATGTTTGTAATCAGTTTGTCCCAGGTTATACACTGGATGGCACGCGGTTGCTACTCTGTGTACCGGTAGTAGTTTTAAATGATTCTTCATTGATTTCTCGCAATACTCAATCCCGACTGAGAAGCAGTGATCAGGCCTGATCCACAGAGGTCGTGTCTGTTCATACGAAATATTGTGGACTGAATAGACTTAATGGTTCTTACGTAGTAGTATTTCGAAATACAAACGAGTTGTTCCCGTCTCATCTGCAAATTGATATAATCTTACAACCCTAAACACAGTCTCCTATTGTGTCACCCTTTCAAGCTTTCACAAAAACGAGGGAAGTCGTTAATTAGTTAGCAGACAACACGATAGATCAAGCAGAACCAAAAAAACCAGGAAAAAACACCTACACGCGTATCTGGTTGCCGACTCATCGAGCTCTACCTGCCCACACATCCAAGGTGAGCCGACGTGTGCGTCAGCGAATCAGTTGGGCAATATGTTGTGAAAGCAAACCGATTGAATTACGAAATAGAACTCAGTAAAGTAATCATCCGTTTTTAACAATCATTTCATCTTTTTCATTCACAAATGGATCAGGAAGATGACGATCCTGCCATGGGATTGGTCAGTACGACATTCCGCGCAGAGCCCACCCTTTTTCCAAACCCTCTCACAATCAGCCCTGTTTACATTTGTGATTTTCTGGTCCGAACCACTGAATTATCTGGTATGCTCAGTTTCTTTTGATATCAATGTTCTACCTCGTACCTAAACTTGGTCAACGTCCCGCTGTTTTGTGGATCAGGAAAGAACGGCAAGTGACATGAATCTTCTTAAAGTATGAGATGTCAGAAGATTAGTATTAGCGTTACAGGTGAAAAAAATTTGATTAGCCGACGTTTCGGTTAATGTGGGTAATCTTTCTTTCAACCATAAAACTCTTACTTCCGTGCTCAGGTTTTGGTCGCTACCTCACAGAATCATCAAGTAAAAGTCAAAAGAGACGGAAGCCGAAAGTAGAAAAGAGCCAAAAATAATATAGAAAACGGAAATTATAAAGGAAAAGAAACTTAGTGAAACTACGCTACTAGCCGCGACACCTAGCCATTGCACTAAATGTTTCCAACCATTTGGTAGGCGGGTTTCGTGGATCCCAACCTGGAGGTCTTATACATCCTACTTGGCCAGGTCCACCGGTAGGTGGCATTTTTATTCCCATTTCGTGCATTATATTAAACCAATGTAATTACGTGCCTTTCGGTACTTTATGAGCCGTTCACTTCTGTGATTTGTCCATTGTAATCATTATCTACAGTTGAGATACCCTTACCGTGAACCATGTTAATGGTCATAAAAACTGCTATTTCTTCACCGGTCAATTGGTGTTCGAAGAAAACCCCAGAAGAGACAGCGCAGACACAACTCAATTCCCACATACTCCCATGGGAAATATCAGTTCTTCAGTACTAACTTGTCTACTACGTAGTATTATGGTCAGCTTGGCAATCCGATCGCTGTTGGGTGGTTCCACGTTTTTGAATACTTAATGTGAATTAATCTGTTGTCAACAACACTAAGCAGCTGTTCCAAAATGATCATCAATGATCAGCTTTCCAGAAAGATTTTTCCATTCGGTTATTGATTTAGCCAGCTATCTAGGACCTTAACGAATGGGCATTTTACATCAACGAAGTTTTGATTGCTGTTGATATACGAGAACGGCGTAAATCTCCGAAATGTGAAACACATAAACCACCCCTCCAGATGCCAGGTTAGATGAATCACATAATTCCGTGACGAACCAAACGAGGGAAAGTAACCTCTAAAATGAACGCTAGATATGCGCGTGTAAAGAAATCACTTCAGTTCTCTTTACGTGAACCCATGTTGCAGAGACAGTTTCACGTGGATATCGAGCGGAAACATTCTCACCTTTACGAGACTATCTCCTGTTAGATGATGAGCTGGCTCCATGATTATTATGGATCATAGCTGACAATGCGCGATTGTTGGAAGCAAGTTCGGTGCAAATCGTGGTCCAGGTCTTCTGCATTGACGGGCACCGTACACCGACCGTAAGCTTAGGTGCTCCGCATCCCTCTAGACAGTGCTGATCCAAATTTTGAGCTGGTCACCAAGACAACAGCATCACCTAGAACAGGGTCGGAGTGTTTGAATAGTTAGTTCCGTTTCAGGTCATCGTCGGATATGGCCCAGCAACCACAGTCGTCATCGCAGGAAGACGGAGTTTTTCGATCTCGAAGCGCCGTTGCACCAATTTACTTTTGAAGTTCGTCGCAGGCACCAGTGATCAAATAACTCCAACATTCTGGTAACGTTAGTTCTTACTGACCGGGTTTCGCAGCCATAGCGGGGGCGGATGGCGGTATAGTAGACAAGCCCTAGTTGACGAATAGTACTGCAACGCCTGGGCATACACCGCTATTCCCATCTTTTTTAATTGTCCACTGAGAGGCAGTAACTGTACTATCTTTGATTTTATTCAGATACCGTATGGTCCTGGTGACATCTACTACCACGTTAGGCCTAGTGCTCTATGGGTCGGAGCACCAAATAAGTCAGGCCTCTTGAACATCCCACCCATGGACGCCAATAACGTACCGACCACGATCTTTCATATCCTGTTTGTTACTGCTTTTGCCATCATTAACTTTCTCAGTCAAAGGAGTGGCTTGCATTGGCAACCGATTGAGCTTATTTGGAGACTTCGAGAAGCCCGGAATACTAGAGATAACTATCACTGTTTTATGGTAAGATACAACTGGTTCAGTTCTCTTGGGCAGGACACAAGCGTGACATTCCTCAAGCCAAATCCCCAAGCGTAACTCACAGGCAATATTGTATTTACCCGATTATTTTGTTGTGATCCGGACTATCGGATCACTCTTCGCGGGGCGTTTTAGACCCTCAACCAACTTCGGTAGACCTGTAGAATTCTTACACTCTACTGCAACACGCAAACAGGACTGACACAACTTCATTTGCTGCGTACTGAGCTCCGGCGAATATAGTTGTTGATTAACACTAACTAGGGTTTGCTTACGACAGCTTGTCATGAAAACTGTGCGCTGAATGGCCATCTTATACAGATCGCCCTTCTTGCTCAGTACGTAGTTCGGACCCATGAATCTAATTTTCGGCTGGCAGAGACACAATCTGAGAAAACTCTGCCGAATGCGTAAAAGCGACCTTTGTCGGAAGTAGGTACCGTCCTGGTGATATGCATCGTCAGAAGGATATTCGAATCACAATGCTTCACTGCAGTTGCCTCCTCAGCATTGTGTAATTTTTCATACATCTCCGCACCATAGATTTGTGACGTGTTGGGGTTGGACAAGTGAACAAAAATCATTTTTAGTAGTGATACACCAGTGGGAAGCCATTTGTGCATGACGTACTTTGGTCTGTTTGTCAGCCAACGCGTTTTCTGAATGATGAAGCTTTAGTCCCATCTTTTTGAACAGATCAGTTTGCTCTTTGCGAGATTTCTCCACCAGGGCTTTAACCATGGTGTAGATAGGTTAAAGAACATCGTGATTGAAATCACAGATCTGACCACTCGCTGCTTTATTTTGGACCATGTCGTTTTCTGATTGTAGAAGTTGTCGCTTTATCAACTTACCGGATTCCAGATTGAAATTTCTACCATACAATTCCGTAAAGTTTCTCAGAGTGAAAGCCCAACTTTGCAAATCAGACCCGAAAGCAACAGTTCTATCAGTGGGTAAAACAAAAACGTTGCTCATAGGACCATCAAGTTCGCCAGGTTGCATAATGATGACACTGACGTTCTCAATCATACGCGAGGACTCGTTGTAAGGCCCCATCACCTCAAATCTGAGGGCTGTGACAGTTTGGTCCATTTTATTTATAAATATAACTGGCTTCTTGGATTCCGCGATAGTCTGTCACAACACCTATGGTCAGCCTTACCCCAAATGCGTTGAAGCTGTAGGCATTTGTAATACTTCACCACAAACGTGAACAGCAGACTTGCGAGGAACATGATGGGTTTCACACCGGCTGTGGATCCATCGATCGAATCTGTACCATCTGAAAGCTGCTAGAGCATCCTTATACGTTCTAAAAAAAAAAATCATCGCCGACCCGGACATTCGTGTAGCCTTTGACTCTGTCTATAGCACTGCAATATAGGATTGTTTGTTGAGGAATGGAGTACCCGAAAAGTATGTGTCAGCCCTCAAAGAGTTGCACTGCTATAACTGAGGTCGGGTTGAAGTCTGCGACCGGCTTTCTCCCCCTCTGTCATCTCCAGTGAAGTACGACAGGGCTGACCTATATCCTCATTTCTCTTCAACTTTGCCATACAAGATGTTTTACTGAGTGTTTTGTCTGCAGTTGGACTCCTCCCAGGAAGCGGCGCTTTCGACTTGGAATACGCTCACCTTGCTGAATTACAATACAAAGGCAATGCAACACTTTTTGGACCGCTTGGCGATCCAGGTTTCCAGATATGACATGCACTTTGCGCCTCCTAAGTCCAAAGTGTTCTTAAAAGACCGACTGGAGCCCGTGCTTGCATTCACCCGTTGTGGTGCTCCTCTAGATTTGACCGATAGCTTTAAGTAACTTGATTACAGTTGGAGAGATCCAATCACGAATTGCGAAAGCTACCGTAGCTTTCGTCAACCTGCAACACTTGTAGTGTGCCGGAGCATTTGGCTCTCCCTCAAGGGACAGGTGAATAGCGCTGCGGCTTGGAGTACTTTGCTTTACGGCTGCGAGACCTGACCACTTCGTGTTGAGGGTGGTCGGTGGCTTTTCGCGTTTGAGCACCGATGTCTCCGAAGCATTACTCGCGTCTCGTGGGAACATTGTGTGTTAGTCACCCTCTAACTGAAGTGGACGTTCTACGCCGTCCCTCATGACTCGGACGTTTTTCGTCTACTTTAACGTGCTCTATTCGCACGCGCTGGCCAGGGCGGGAAGAAGCGACGCAGTGGTCAGGCCTTGAATTCGCGTAGGGCGGTATGAAGAAACATTAGTGATGGTATCGGTTGGCGCTTCCCGTCTAGTTGGTTGGGGCCCGATTGTCGTTGATTAGAAACACTGATCGACACGGCTTAGGACAAAAATCAGTTGAACGAGTGCTATACGGTCTATCTGTTTCACACCCGTTTCCCGTAAATCCAAAACAAAAAACCACTCGTGTTTCTTTTATTTGTTAATCATTCCCTCCCATTGTATTTTACCCCATATTTTCAGTTATTTTATATTTCTGTTAACGTCGTTGGATTGGCACAAAGTTTGATTTCAAGCCGGGGATATATATATATATATATATATATATACCATTCTCTCTCTCTCTCTCTGTATATATATATATATATATATATATATATATATATATATACAGAGAGAGAGAGAGAGAGAGAGAATGGTTGGAGACATGGAGTGACCTGACTAGGTGCGGCGATTAGTGAAGACCAACTGTCTTCATCTATACGATTTCCAATTATAAATTATTTTTTTATTTGTTTGTCCGTTATGTTCTTATTCGTTAAGCTCTCGACTAGACGATACTGCAGGGTAGTAATCAAAATCAGAGCACAAAACTGCGAGATTCTTGTTGGAAAGAACTGACCTGAATCAACATTACTCAGCACTGAAAAATGCGGAAACACTACTGTACGGCTGCTTCATCCGATATCGGGATTTGTCAACCGTAGTGCACACATCCACCAGTTCTCAAGAGGGACTCGATGCACAGAGAGCATGGTCGCGAGAGACACACGTGTTAGGGACTGACTCCCATCGGTTTGTTTCGCGTCAGCATTGCAACTTGAAGGAAAGAATTACTGACGAGTGGTGACGTCAGAATACATACGATATTGCTGAATTTCCTAACGAATGGTTTCTGAACAAATATAATCTTCTGGATAGTCCATAAAAGGAAGGGAAGGTCGAGAGCAGTCGAACACTAATGGGATGCCCGACGGTGGTCGAACAGTGCGAAACAAAAATTTTGTGATCCCGAGCTTGAATCTAGCCACCGCCGGTTCGGTTACTCCGTTGACAGTCCGCAATCGGATGCATCCGGTCTTTCTGAAATATTGAACAGTTTTTAAGCAACAAACAAAAATGAAAAGAAAAGAAAACAGTCGCGAACTGTTTAAAGGTATTTCACATATCCAAGGGACAAATCTCTTGACGGGTTATTCAAAAAGAACAACATTCCAGTCTGTATGTGATGGGGCTACCGCTGAGGAGAAATATAATTTTTACCGTATATGAAAACCCACAATCCAAATCAAAACACCATAGGAATGATAATGCGAATTAACCTTGTGAAACGAGATGAAATCTCAAGGCGGATGTGGCATTTATGTGTCGCAGGACTTCCAAACGTTCCAAGAAGACATTATTCAAGTAGCAAGCGCTGGGAAGGTCCAGGGTTATCCTACGACCGAAACAGAGAGAAGAAAAAGTGGATGGAATGGAGGCTTAGTGTGCGAATTAAAGGAACACATTTAGCACGAAAATTACCGAACCTACATAAAGCCGCGTTTGCGATCGTTAAAATGTTCTATAGACGAGAAGAAAATAGACTGATGTTGAATGAGGACCATGAATCTCGATCAGATGGTACTGTCTGAGCGAATGAGCCCAGTTTAAACACATTAATCCAACAGTCAGTTAAACAACGTTAGTCTCCATCCCGAAGATCGTGAGCGACACTCAACTCCACAAAATTGTCTATCAAACTCAGGCTCTAGATAAATGAGTATCCCAGGATTGAATTCAATCCATTGATTCCAATAATGGGTCCAAAGACAACTCCGGGAATGGTGACCAGCCAGTGGCGCTTTTTATTCCACATTTGTGCACTGGTGCAGCATCAAATACCCACTGCACCAATAGGGATAAGCGGCGACTGTGATCTTAAGAGCCGTGGTAGCGAACAACGTAGGTTCCCAATAGGTAAGGTGGACAACTTGAGAAGTGAGATCTCTCAGAATAGCTTCAGCATCTTCCAAGAAGTGTTCACAGAACTTTGCCATTCACATTCTTGCATACGCCACAGGCAACGAAAGATGAGTTTCATGGAAACTTCCAGGATATGACTGGACGAAGCCTACGAAGTAAATATAGATTTTGTCGTGTATGAACCACTCAAATGAAAACAAGCAACAGGTTCAAGGAATACTTTATGTTGAACGATGTAGCAATGATGATCATCTAATCCGATTCACCTATCAAAGAAGCCTTTAACAACATGGTACCGCACATCGAACTGGCAACGTTAACATATGATTCGTTCGACTATCGCCCGTCCAGTGTTGTCGAGCTTATGCTGTTCCAATGGTGGATAACACCAACAGAACCGGTTCATCTACATGTGCCAGTTTCGAAATCGACTAGTCCATGCGTCATGAGTTTTGCCTATCGAATAAAATTATTTTTATGCAACTTTGGTGCCACAAGTTAAAAGCCAAGCGATGTCGGGTATCACTGTAGCGAACGCACGAACACGAGATTCACTTGTAAAATAATAGGCAACAATCGAGTCAGTGGTCAAAAAAGCTGTACGCGCACGAAATCGTCGAACCTTCAAAAAAATGCTATGGTTATCAGTCAAAACACGCGATGATAATGTCACCTTAACTGATGACGAAATGTTTTCAATTTAGGCATCAAGTGCAGCGATCAGGAACCCATGCGAACCACTAACCGGAATTACAAACAACATCAATTTTCAAGGCTCTGGAGAACGCGAAAAGTGTGCCTGGTTGCGATTGCTACACGAAGTAGGCACCAAACAGATACTTCGTATCCTGCCAGAACTGAACTTGAATGATTCATTCTATATAGAATCAGCTACGAAAATGGAGGTCGCCTCAGAAACTGGCAACCTAAGCAATCTGTTTTAACCTATCTGAAACACTTGAGGCAAGAGCAACAGTAACGAGTTTCTTTCCTGTATGAAGCAGTTGAGAAAATGAAGAGTAGAAGAAAACAGAACGATGAGCTGAACACTCCGACAGGCTGTTGCTCAACTGTCTCTCGTTGTCCGACAGACCCGTCACAATTAGAGGCACCAGAACAAATTAAGAACCGCAAAGTTTAACAAAGAATGTTTTATTTAGCAACCGATCAAGGGGAAAAACTGCTGGAGCAAGAAACACCAAATAAGAACTTTATACAGCATATCTGCCATCATTCAATGGGAAATTTGCATGTCATTTTGTTCCATTTAAGAACAAGGTTTTCTACCTATTGTAGGGCAAGTCACCAAAACGACACGTGGGAACTATTGGGTATTATTCTGATCAGTAACGCATGTGAATGCCGCTGAATGACAGTTTTTCCTGAATAAAAGATAGTCAAATCTAGCCGAACACTGGCAGCTTCCTCCCCGAAGGAGGTCGAAACCGAACTGGCCTACATGCTACGCCGATCACTGCAGCATCACAACAGGTTCTGGTAACCAATTTGTTTGTTCCATAAATAGCCACGCTATTTATGAATCAATTAATTCTGATTTTCTCTAGACAATACTGAGAGATGACGCGATACTCGAGGGACATATTTGTAGCCTAGTCATTCGTACATACGCGTGTGACGAAAGGTAGTCAGGTTTCGTACCTGATTCGGAAGAAGCGTAGGACTATCTTTTTTCCCAATATCAACCTAGGATCTACTTTTTGTTTTCATCCCTATGCGCAACAATATGGAAAACGGCATCTACCAAAGCAAGAAGGAGAATACCACAGTTTTAAGAAAATAACGAGTGCATAAAATCCTGATTACATCTAGACGATTTTAAAACTCAATCTTGGCTACTAAATTTTATTCATAATAGTCAGCTGAACCACATGAAATAAGTCCAAACCCAGGTTCATTGAATCGAAAACGACCTACGTAAAATTATAAAAGTCACGATTCACATCCAACACTATCAGAATATACTTGACGAATGAAGTTCTTCGACAACTGGTGCTTGTGCTGAATTCCTAGAGCAGACCCACACAAATGGCTAAAAATACGATGCACGGACATGGGCCTAATTTCCATCTGACAACGTCAACGGTTTCAGATTTTCCGTGATCCGACTAGCCACCTCAGCAAAAGCTAGTTTGTCTCCCCTCGCACGGATGATGCTTACGCCTTGGCGACCAACTCCACACACGAATCAAAAGAGCCCAGATGAACCAGAACAGTATATGTTTACAGTCGGTCTGCAGCGGTCAACAGAAAGGAAACCGGGCAGCGATATTCGTCAGATTTGCCACCATTCATTGTAAAGTGTGGACAAACAACGCGTGTACACCCTGAGGAGGTTGAATTTCGCAACTTACTACTCAAAACCTTGTTAGTAGGCAAAAGGGGGAAAATACCGCAAAGTAAATAATCAAGTCAGCTAGAAAAGTGTACGCGAAAATTGCATGATAGAGAAACAAATTAGCGGACTTGACCGGTATCCAATGTCGAGTAATGGCTCCAGGCTCCACACCAATCCTAAACGGAGAGTTCCAAGTTTATCGGGTACTAATGAAGATGAAGTGTGATGGGGTCAGTGGTCCAGACTGATTTTCCCCAAGGGTGCAAACTGACTTTGCTCTCATTTCATTTTTAGCTTAAACATGCTTATACTATCAACTTTTGTTCCATGAAAACGCCCTGAATTATGCTGCGGTGGTATCCATAAGGCGAATGCATATTCTCTACCTGTAAAATATATCGTATGGTCTAATACTTGCGACTTGTGTGTTCAGACTTCTATTGCATCGAACATCCTCTGAGATAACAAAAACTGGTCCGATCAGCTAGACTGTCACTTTAGTGTGTTAGTGTGGAACCCAGAGCCAATATTCGACATTGAATACCGGTCAAGTCCGCTAATTTGTTTCTCTATCATGCAATTTTCGCGTACACTTTTCTAGCTGACTTGATTATTTACTTTGCGGTATTTTCCCCCTTTTGCCTACTAACAAGATTTTGAGTAGTAAGTTGCGAAATTCAACCTCCTCAGGGTGTACACACGTTGTTTGTCCACACTATGCAGGGTCGGTGGTAATTTGTGCAGTGTAAAATATCGTTAATCGTTTCTGTCGAAGACGGTCAGGCAAAGGCAAGATTGGTAGGAAAAGCGCTACAGAGGATTGCCGACAGGAAAGAAAAGCAACTGCACGGTAATTTCAATCTTTTCCAATGACGAACGGAATGTTGAGACTGAATGATGAATAAATACGTGAAATATTTTGAGCAAAAAACAAAATGTCCTAGATCAAATTCAGTAGCTCGAATGCTATTGGCTCAATACTACAACTGATCCGTTAGAGAGTTATGAGGTTCACCGCCCACGTCTCGGTTGAGGTCACCGATTTCCCTCGGGGGACACAATAGGGTCTCGTGGCTTTGGGTTTGTTACTTCTAATACATTCATGTGCAAGCGTAAAAAAACCATGGAGAATATCGTGCTCATTATGAACATATCACCTTATATTGCTTAGCGTCAAATCGATTATATAGTGGAGGGAGCAAAGTACACAACCACAAAAAATATAATTTCACTTCTTGGTCCAGGATTGACTGGTTTATTGAGTAACTGATTGAATTCAATCACCTACTTGGCTTCCGAAAGATTGTTTCCAGAATAGATGAAAAGACGAGTAACCACTAGAGTCTGCTCTGATGGATTCAGAGAACCGATTGGAGCCACGGACGATGTGTGATCATGGGATCCGGAGCCGAAGGAGGTGGGAGTCATGAAAAATGTGATCCCCCGATAGGATAAACGATAGGAACCATCTGATTCCACGGGAACTAGAACGTTTGGTTATGGAAGAGAATGAACAGAACCAAGGTATTAACCACTCCCTTTTGGTTTTGCTGTGTTAGAATGTGTGCCAACATAAAAAATAACCTTAGGTCATCAAACACACTGTAAGCAGTGCAAAGATCTTCAGCAGAATATGACAACACTGCTTTATATCCTTGTTTCTCACGTGTTCGTCAAAGAAGACGTACTACGGAGTCCGGCCTAGTCGCCACTGCTGTCCACGTTGTCACTAACGCGGAAGAACGGCAATTACAAGAATTACTCTTTCCAGGCACCCGGTGGAAGCAGGTCAACAATTAAACATGCTATCTTTAATGTATCGAAACCCTTGAATAATATCAGAAAGCAAGTAGACGAACATACATCTTCGGTGGTTTCATTCGCAAGCCTTTATATTTACATTTATATCCGAACAACATAGATGGCATTATAGGTGCATTTGAATCGATGAACAAGCACCGAAGAGGTCGAAAAACAACTTATCCGTGTTCTCGTATTCCATGGGTGATGTCTAGAATAGGCCACTTAGCTAACCAGTGTTGAAACTGGTTTTGAAGTGTCTCCATTGTAAGAAAGTCTGAGGAATACGGTGTACTCTACCACTTCTGGTATTCCCCTGGTTCTGTTCAGTTTTGCATACTACATCAAAGAGCACCAGTTAGGCTGGCTTGAATACGAAGGAAAGGGAGTTGTATCTACTAGAATGAGGTCACGCGACTGATCCGACGACATTAAAAACAGAGGTGCAGTGAATGAGTAAAAAGCAGCCAGATACGGCACACCAGCAATGGGAAAGGCAACACACACCTAACTACCGTTCCCATCCGTCCCAGTAGCTCAAGTGAGAAGACATTCCTGCCTTCAAACCATCTCATCTAGTCATACAAAAACAGGCAGTTAATACAAAGTATCAGGTATCACTGTCAAAACCATTGCACGAAGCGCATTGGTCCAAAACACTTTCCATAACCGGGTCTTCTGACTGGCTTTTTCAGTTACGTACCCGATTGACTGATTTCATTTCTGTCGGTTAAAACAACTGTAGACAACTCATTGGTTGATTTCATCTCGTTCGACTAAAGACAACTCTTGGCCGCTGATTGGTGGGTTCCGTTAGGTTCGGTGAGAGTCACTGTTCGCGGCTGAGTGGATGATTTCATTCTGTTTAGTCACAAACTGATTGGGCTATGGACCCGCTTCGGTGGTCTGCGCTTTTTCATCGATTCCTGGCAGACAATGAACTGCCATCTGCTATCAGAACTAGGCTGTCTAGCGATGTGTCAGCTAATACCCTCACACCTCCCGTTCTTTGATAAGGATGGCCGCTTCTCGCTCCCCCGGGTTCTTGTGGACACTTTACTTTTGAGAACAATGTTCTTTCGAATGTGTATGTCTTCTATTTCTTCGTTTGGCTGTCTTATCCACCTCGACCTCGTAAGACCCGTTTTCCAAGCATCTTAGGATTGCTCCTCCTTTCCAACAATGAGGCCTTTCTGGAATGCCTTGAACGTATATTTTCTACCGTTTTTTAGTTCTGGTAGGTCCTCTGATCCACGGACGCAATAAAACTTTCGAGTGTCTCTTCTGTGTTCTAAATGATATTGAGCTTTTAGTTCCAAAAAATTAACCAACTGTCGGAAGCTGTGTGAGTTCTCCATTCGAATAGCCTCTGAACCGGGATGCATTTCACAGTGGAACTCGGTATGTTTTTTATGTTCCAAGAACACCAATTAGAAATCATTTCCGGACTCTGCCGCCAAAGTTAATATTCTTTTCGCTAGCTTCACCACAGATTCGGCCTTGCTATTAGACTGACCATAGTGCGGGCTACTGTTCCGATGTTCGAATCTCCATTTGTGACAGAATTTCCGGAAATCTGCACTCGTGAGTTGGGGTCTATTCTCGGAAAATAATGTTTCAAGAGTGCCTCGCCCGGAGAAATGAGCACGCAAACGGTTAACTATGTCCGTTGTTGTTGTGATATGCAGAAGTTCAATGTGGAAAAAATCACTCCAATAATTAACCAGAACCAAGTAATGATTGTTCCCACGCTCGAAGATATCTGCGACCAAAGTTTGCCAAGGGCAGGTAGGTGATTCCCGTAGCAACATTGTTTCTCTCCTCTGTGGGTACGACAAAGTTCGCATTTGGAAATGTAGTCTTTTATCTGACTGGTCAGGCGGGGCCAGTAAAACAACTCTGTTGCTCGGTGAGTGGTACTATTCACCACGGGATGTGACAAATGGAATCTGTCCATCAGTTGCCTTGACACTTTTCGGGGCGACCAAACAAATCTTCCTTGAATATGAAACCGTTATCGACAGAGAGGAATTCAAGACTTCGAAGAATGAGGCTCACTGTATCGACAGCTTTTCACTGATTGTAGACCATTCGTAAGAGATGAAATCAATCAGTTGTTGAATGACGGTGTTACTGGAAATGGCTTCCTGTATATCAATGAGCTCTGCATTGTCTATTGAACTTAAATCAATCATTGAGATATGTTTGAACTCTGGTGAGATACCTTCATAATCCACGACGCATGCATGAGATAAGATGTTTGCGATGAGCATTTGACCTCCTGGGAGATAAACTAAGTCATATTCATATTTTTGAAGCATGGTCAGTATTCTTTGTAAACGTTTTGGGCTATCGCTAAGCGGTTTTATAGCGACAGTTATAAGTGGTTTGTGATCTGTTTGAACGACCGTCTTCCAGCCGTATATATACGTAGTAAAACGCTCCAAAATTATCGGGATAATCGACAGGCCATGGGTTTTGTAGAATCACCGCTCTGAAGTCGGATTGACTGCCACACTGGACAAGTTAAGGGAGACCAAGTAAGTCGTAAGCTATTATCAGTGTTCCGCAAACCGCCTTTATCTTTTCGAATGCGTCTTGTTGTTCCGTGCCCCAGTGCCACTATGTCCCCTTGCGAGTGAGTTATCGAATGGACTTCATCAAATCCATCAGGCGCTGCAAAAATCTGCCGAAATAGTTGGCCATGCCATTGCGATGCAAAACGCCCGGGTACGTTTAAATTTCCTTGATCTTCTCTGGGTTGGCTCTTAGTCTCTTGTCTATCAAAAGATGTTCATGATGTTTGCATTTCTCCTTGCTTAACCGTATAGCCTGTTGCATGCAAAACCTTAGGAAACCTTTCAAATATTAACCCTGTTCCTCTGGTATCTTGCCATAAATCTGCACATCGTCTGCGATGTAAAGCACGCCTTTGAGGTCATCGAGTGTTTAAACAAGACGCCCCTGAAGAATTTCACTGAATACTTTCAATCCAAAAGGTAACTGATGCCAACGAAAGAAACCGAAAGGAGCAGCTAAAGTGGTGGTTATTCAGCTCTAGTTGCCAGAAACTTGACGATACGTCAACTTTGGTAAAGAAACACACTTCATGCAAATTCACCAGAATGTCATCAAGTATTGGCAAACTGCATTGCTCGCTCTTGAGAGCAGCGTTCAGATGCGTTGGGTCTATACACAAGCGAATGGCGCCAGATTTCTTTGCGGCAATTACAATTTGGCTAACCTAGTCTATTGGCTCATCAGCTTCGGCCATTACCTTTAGATCCAGCAAACGATCCAATATGTAGCGCAAAGTATCGCGTAAGGCTACGGGGATACCTCTGGTCGGTAACTGTAAACCATCGATAAGTGCATTCTACCGGAGAAAAATCACAGTTGAGAATTCAAAACTGATGCGTACTGAATAAATATTGTCGGTTTTTTCTAAACTGTTCACAAAATTATTCTCGTTCACTGTGACGAAGTTCAACTGTTGAGTAGCACCGAGCCTGAGTAGTGGTTGCAAGTTCTTTTCGGTCACCATAAACTTGACCGTATGTAGCATCATTCATTGCATTTTTGACGTCTAACTTCATTTCACCGAGGACGGCTGTCTCTGTTCCACTGCACATTCGCAAACTGGTAGTGGACCGCCTGATAATGACTTCATCAACATAGAACACCTCGAGGATCCTTTGTTATATTGATCTACTCCAACGGTTTGTGATCAGTCTCAATATGAAACCGTTGACCTAGCAGATACGGTCGCCATTTTCCCAACGCCTACACGATAGCCAAACATTCCTTTTCAGTTGTAGAATATTTTCTCACCGCTGGCGTGAGCACTCTGCATACGTATTCCACCACAACATTCATCTGCTTTAGCACTGCTCCGATACCTACGTCGCTGGTATCTGTACTGACCGTGAACGGCTCACCAACGACCGGCAGATGCAACGTGAGATGTTCGTTCGACATGGTAAGTTGGATTTGACAGAACGCCTGATTCGCCTCCGGGCTCCATTTAAATTTGTGCTTCCTCTTGAGAAGGGCGCATAAAGGCTCCACGAGAGATGTGAAATTTTCCACAAATCGACTGTAGTATGCAGCGCAACCCAGGAACCATCTCAATGGTCTTTTAGAGGTCGGTATTGGAAATTCCTTCAGTTCGAGAATTTTCTCGGGAAGAGGTCGTAGTTCTCCGTTGCGTAACTTGTGGCCCAGAAGAGTGACCATCGGTCTTCCTATCTGAGACTTTGGTCCGTTTATTCTCAGCCCCGCTTCCTTCACGCGCCTCAACAAGTTCTCCAAATGTACAACATGCTCGTTTACCGTCTGACTGTAGATCACGATATCATCTCCACAGACAGCGACGTTCGTTAGTCCTGCCAACAACTTAAGCATTAGAAGACGAAAGTGAAACGGCGCCCCTGACAGACCGAATGGCATCATCAGAAAACGGTACTGCTTGCCCCCGACCGTGAATGCTGTTTTGTCTTGATCCTCCTTCTTTATTGGAACTTGCCAGTGTCCTGACCGCAGGTCGATCACCGGAAATATTGTGGCTGCTTGCAATTTATCGAATATCTCTGGTACCGAAGGCACCGGCACCGGCTTGTGTATGGTTACGTCGTTTACACGTCGAAAATCAACACAAAATCGGAATTTCCCATTGGGCTTTCTA